CGAAACCCCTCCAACCAGCCCACTGCATAGCCCAAAATCTAGCCTACTTTTCCCAAAGGTCGATTACGCCGAAGCTTTCACTCGTATCTACCATGATAGCCCCCAAAGCTCCTCTCCACCCAGCAGCCTTTGTCCTTCATCGCCCCCAAGTATCTGTCACATCCTTCCAGATACTGTCAAAGACTCAAATGAAGTTCTGGCAGCATCTGTTACTTCCTCTGGGCACCATGACTTTGGACACGCTGATGTCAGTCCACCTATGAGAAAGCATGAGGGGCGACACCATATTTCACAGTCTGGTTACCACCCTTACGTCCGAAAAAATCCCCCCACACCGCAGGCAGTGCGCAAGATAGCAGGCATGATGGGAAGATTAGCTACCAGTACAAATTCAGACCATGACGACGATGAAACGGTATGTCACTATGTTTTATGCAGCGACTCTCAGTGACACATTGTCATTGTTCTAGGCTCGCAAAATATTTTCGCAGGGCCTGCAGCAGATGTCTACTGAACGTGTTCGCCGTGCTGCTTATTACAAGGAAGCAGAACTGGAATACCATCGGCATCTCTCAATGACTTTAGCTTGGGAGGCGGAGAAGCTCTCAAGGCTCAAATATTTCATTGATGGCGAACAGCAGGAGCAGGAAGAACAAACCATTCGGGCATTTGAGGAAGCGGCGCTCTTTACACGTATGGTTGCTGATCGCGACACAGAACGTGCTTCCCAGGATCAAGAGTTCATTGCTGTGATCCAACAGGACGAGGTGAAAAGGGTGAAACGGTTGAATGCTGAACTCGATGAGCTTGGCATCTTTCTTCCCTTGGACCCATCGGCTTCAGACCTCGACAATGCTGACACACGCTCTATCGGAGATCCCCGCAACTTTGATCATCCATCTGTCGGAGACCGTCCTGAGAATCAGCTGGTGATAGGGGAGTGAATCAGAGCGCAAATATAATTTTATTCGCCAATACCAATGTATGTACGTTGTTTCATGTGGCAGCATGCGCTCATTTATTTATAGGATGTAGCTTGAATGATAGGATTGGATAGCTGTAAGGTGGTAGTACATATGCGAACATGTTTCTTTGGCTTTCGACTATTTGATATGTTGACGTCTTTGTTTGTTGTTTGTAGAACCATATTACCTTGAATGTAGCGCTTCGTAAACTTTGTTTCATGCCTTTTACTATTATGGACACTGAGTACTGATTATCGATTGATCGATTGTTCTGCACTTGACCACCATGTCCTCTCGCCAAAATGCACCATCTAGACGCAGGATTGTACGGGTGAGTAATTTGGGATCTATCTCTTAGTACACTGACTCACAGCAACATGATAGGATGTCCCTATTGTTCGACAAGCAGGACTGAATATCGCAGGGCATTCATCGACAGATCAACTCGGGTGTACGTCAGAGACACCAGAGTCAATGGACACACCGGAATTACCCCCCTCGCATCCATTATCACCCCATTTTCTCGCACGACGGCTACAGCTCGATGCCGCCTAACTACCAGGATGATGTGCCTTTACCAAGGGAATCGCACCTCACCAGGACAGCACCCCACGCTTCGGGGCCTGACCGAGTCCATCAAATGTTTGAACCATCTCGGTTTCGTATGGTATATACATACATGCCTCTTCGCGGTGCAGAGAAATCCCGCCAAGAATACACTGATGGTGTCGTTTATGTAGGCCCTACATTTTTGTACTTTGAGTTGTCACTAACCATACCTTTAGAGAGATGTTACGACAGGGATACAAAAAACGACTGCTCGACGATTCCACCTCCCTCCGCTTAGACCCCCGAGAGAGTCACTCGCTACAAATTTGGAGATCACGCCAATTGCTACTACTAGTACTAGCACCCCTCGATCCTCTGTATCAGCCCGTACGGTGCGCGAGCATGCCCCTGCCACAGTACCTGTGGTCGACAAAGCGCAGTCGAAAATTATTGTCAAGGACGCGAAGGAATATGTGATCGCTGAAACATTGAATACATGCGGATTTCACGATTCCTCCAGTCGCTTAACCGTAGTACGTACCGCGCTCAGCAGTGCATGTTTGTCTGTCATCACGGAAGGTGAGTACTGTCATTAATACAAGATCAATAGTACTAGAACTACTTAACGGCTAGATCACTCGATTGAACTATGGATCAACGAAAACTTATCTATGTTGTACAAGACCGTTATCACGCCCATGTCGACGATACTAAATCGATTCAAGCACTGCGCACAGGACCTCGTTGGCAATCTTTACAGGCTTCAAATGTCAATTTGGACAGACCCTGCAGTCCAGGCGAATCACAATAAGTCGACTGTTGATTTCTTCATCGGCAACAATAGCCTTAACTACATATTTGGTGATCCGGTGAGAGTACATACCATTTCACAGTTTCTATCATTCAGAGGATGACGAGACGATTGTCAGCTTGAAGATGGTAGAGAGGTCCGGTACCCGTTCAAGCACGAAGGGATAATCCAGATCGCAGACCGTGCCGCCTTTCGTGATGGCTATGACAAGTTTATCTACTCGGACAGTAGCCTTGACAACATCATGGCGATGTCTGCAACGGCTGCATGTTGCAGCTTGCAGGAGTTTGCCACTGGTGTATTCAAGCAAATTGATTTCACTTACGCTAGTTTTCACGCCATATATACGAAACTCATCAATTTCATTCGTGTTAACATTAGGAGCAATCCAGCGTTGTTAGCTAGATGGAATAGATTGTTTCAACTTCTTCGCGCGGGAGCTCGTTGATTGCTAGATTATCTTGATGTGGCTACATAGTTATCTAGACATGATAATCTTAATCTAAACGGCTTATCTTGGAAATTTTGTCAGAACTGAGATACACATATACTTCCACCAATCGCATGAGTTCGCTAGTGAAGTCGTAAGCGTTCGTAAGTGTTCGTAACGCGCGTAAGTTAAGCGTTCATTTCGTCGTTTTGCAGATGCAGGGTCCATAGTTCAGAAGCCTGAGGCTGCAATATATTACTAAAAACACTACTGTATAAGCGATCGTGTTCCTGTACCATGACTCAAGCTCGCTGTCTGTTTTCTTGTGCTCTGTTGTTGCGTTATGCTCCTCTTTGTTGGCTTCAACGTTTTCATTTCGCCCTCTTCTCTGGCTCTTCGTCCTTATGGCTTCTGGTTCTTCTTCAGTCATCAATCAAGCTGTGTTTCGCCATCCACCTGTGTCGCTCGTGATTTCAGATCGCGAGCTTGCACAATGCAGACGATGGGACGTCTGTTGTGTCTTCATGTGTCCTGCGGAAGTACTTTGGGTTTTGGGAGGTCTCTTCGGAGCGTGTGTCTTTGTATAATCAATATCCTGTTAACTGGTTTGTTGACAATTGCCTGTCGTGGCGCCGAATCTGCGGTGGGTTGTCGAAAATTTTGTCGAGAGCAATATACTGAGATCGCATGCCCACATCCCATTTATGTGTCCCCGATCGCAAGGATCATGTTCGTGATCTGCTTCGCGTACATGTATGTGAGAGCCTTTCGCAGCCTCGCCTCGTTCACGTCGTGCTACTTCCGAGCGAGATGCGCCTATAACCTATGCGCCAAAGACCTGCTGTGTGCGGAAGCAGGGAAAATACCGTTACATTTGCTGCGCAATGGCTGTTTACCAGAGCACACTCTGCCTCGTACTTATGATTTGGAATTATACAGTCAAGTAATCTTGTATTTGAAGGGGCTCACTAGTTGTTGGTCTTTGTCTGAAGTATATGTATCGCTCGTGTCATTCGGCTCTGCTTGGCAAGAAGTTGAACAGACCAAAAAAAGAGGGAGGGTACATACTACTATGGTACCAGATTCCAGAATCACTTTTTCGACACCACCTTCAAAAACCAGAAAAAGTCCTTCCGACTTCTGCCTTGCAATCTTACCCTTTTTGTTTCGGGGAGATCATCACTGAATACAACAATGCGTAAACCAGGGAATCGAGTGATGTAGATATCAAGCATGTTTACCGAACTGTCCACCCGACAAGGCGACTCAGATCTCCGAAGCCGGTCGAAACACGTCTCACTGGGGAACATCACATTTCCTGACGATGACGGGGGATGAAGATGTCCCGTTCTTCGCAGCTACAATATCTCCGGTGTCCTGATGTCCATCGTATCAACAACAGAAGCCATGTCCCTAACTTGCGCGATGATCTCATTATCCGAAGCGATTCTCTTATACTCCCCACCACGCTGCTGCGCTAGCAAAAGTGCGCCAAAAGGACGAGCAAGACGAACGAGCAACCTCAACCCTCTGGTGACCAGCTCATCATCTCCAGGTTCATTAGGCCAATTGTCCACGCTCTGCGACTCGTCTGTAAAGTCGAAATCATACCGATTCCACGGGCGGATGAGCAGGAATGTCTGCCGAGTACGCTTTGCAGGCGAGAATTGAACAAGTTTGTCTTCCGTTGTGATTAGTAGGTCTGGTAGCCCGTCTGCTATGACTTCATATGTGAAAAATTTGTCCCCGTCTCCACCAGTACTCCGCCTGACTTCTGTGAGAGGAAATGCGATGCAGGGCAGTTGCAGTCTGGCGTTTGCAAAACGAGGAACGCCAAGGTTCTCAAGAGTGATATACAGTTTCGAAGCCGACTCCACAGCCACAATATTGTTTCGCAGCGTGAAGACCGATATCTGCATGTCTTGTTCAGATAGAGATGGTAGCGTGCATGGCAGAGCCTTGTATGAGGAAATCTCGGCTGGGAGACAACTGTTGAAGTTGGACGATTGTCCCACCCAGTCCAGGGCCGTGATGTCGCCCGAATGAGCTATGATCTCCTGTAAGAGAGGTCCGAGCGCGTTCTGTCTTTTTTCTCCGTAGATTACAGGAAGGTGGATCCCAAAGATCCTAAACAGTGAATATGCGATGTCTTCCTGTAACGTAGTAACACGCGTTGATGCCCATTGAAGTTTCTCTCGGGCATTTCTCATCCCCGGGCGGAAGGCGACGAGCGCCCGTGCATTTATGCCAGTTGAACGCTCCAACTCCTGCGTGATAGCAGCAGATTGCTTGTGGTTGCGTAAGCAGTGGTCGAGATATAGGGTCCAATCTGCTTGGTAGAAGAGAACAATTTTAGGAGCGAGGAACTCCTGAACGGTCCATCCTCGCGTGTTCCAAATGCTGTTTGCGAGCGCACCAAATTCTGGCGAAGGAGGAACATCCGATAGATAGACGATGGTGAGCGCTGAGTAGTGATACCAGACGAACATGGAGTTGACTGATTCTTGTAGCTCGACGTTGTTATACTGGTCGATGCAGCATGTATCGTTCCACGCCCAGCGATACCCCGCGTCGCGAGCGACCTTTGCAGAACTTCTGCAACTTCACAATGATTTCGACCCGATCCAAGTCGTAGATGTCCCTGCCCTGAATGTCATGCAGTAGCGGCTCCTTGCTTTCCCACCTATGGGATAACATGACCCAACTGAAGCACTTTATGACCGCTTCTTTAATGAGCTCCGTTTGGAGGGGCCCATGCATCACCAATGAATGCAAAAGCTCTTTGTACTCTGTACTCTCCGTGAATGCGTTTATCTGCGCATCTCGATTGCACAAACGTTCAGTAGAGGTGTTAATTAGGCGAAGTGGAGCGTTTTCCAGTTGGGCGTGAATGGCTCGTCGAATAGCATCTCGTACTTCAGATAAACATTGCTGGCGTAGCCCTGCAAAAATATAAGTCATCTGCAAGTCGGCGCTTGAGTTGTTTAGGACTCACGTCGTATCTGTGGGTCGGGTGCTTGGAGAGCATGATTGTGAAGGCCTCGAATGCATCATCATGGCGCTGTGCTCCACGAAGCGCTGCATGCTTCAGTTCGTACCCGATATAACACGAAGGACTGAGCTCAATGGCCTACGAACATCATTACAAATGTTAAAACGACGGATATTGTCTGCACCTTGTCCACGTCCGAAAGGCCCTCCGCATAGAGCTTTTGGCCCAACTTCACCTTACTGCGATGCACGAAGTACGAGGGATCCATCCCGAATACTGTAGAAAGTGTGTTCTCGATAGACCAGAGGTGAAGATTCCCATCCAAGTCTCCACTCACGAGCAGTTCTCCGCTGAGAGAAATTGTGACGCAGCAAACATGTGCGGTGTGTCTGAGTGGTTGTCCTATCTGCTTGTGTGACTTTGTGTTCCACAGGCGCACAGTATTAATATTGTCGTCCGAGGCGGTTGCAATGAAGGAGCTATCAGAAGAAATGGCAAGTGAGTTGATGTAAGAAGTGTGGCCAGTGCAAGGTTGGCCGATCTGGGTCCCATTCGACGAGTCCCAAAACTTGATTGTTTTGTCCGATGATGCGGAGACAAGTTGCTGGCCGTCGGGCGACCACACGACGCTTTGAACCCAATCGAAGTCGTGAGCGTTGATGTCGAATAGAAGCTCGGCGTTATCGGTGCTCCAAACCCGAACGGTACAATATCTGCCGGATGTCAATTTCAGCCCATCTGGGCTGAAGGCGACACAAAACGGACCCCGATTTCCATCGGGGAAAAATGTATGCTTCACCAGCGGTTTGAGCTTGCTATCGACGTCCCATATGATGATGGCTCCATCTCTTCCACCACTCGCAATTTGTTTATCGTCTAGTCACTATGTGAATTCAGGCGCTGTGACAGCGACTGAATACACACAGTAACTACCATGTCCCCCGAATGGCGTTCCCACCGATACTCTTTTCTTCACGTCCCAGATTCGCAGTGTTCTAAATGAAGCGGTGACGATCAGTCGATCATCTTTGAAGAACGCGACTGCCGACACTTTCCCCTTGTGCACTCGCATCGTATGTGTCGGGCCTGTCGGCGTCGCACGCCTTCTCACAGTAAGATATGATTTTTTTGCTACATTGAGCAATCCTGACATGTCGCTAGACAGGAAGATGGACGGTCAGTGACGTTTGAAGTTCTGTGCTGCCGTCGTCAATCGTGAATAGGGCTGGATTTCTGGATTGCTGCCCATAGCCCAATTCATGCAGGGTCTTTATATATCCTTGGCCCATAGTAGTACATACCACGTTGCTACAGCGTGAATCTCATTTCGCTCCTTCCATCAGTGCCCGTAGCGGACCTCGCGAGTACTTTCTATTCGTCGACGTCCCAGATCATGATGTCATCAGCCACAAGTACTGCTCGCAACTCGCCTGTCATGCATGTCATGATTCATCTGGTGATACAGCGACTGGACACGTGGCCTCACGACCCCGGTGTCCCCCGAATGGCCTTCAGATGCCCGCAATGTGGTCCGAACCAGTGACAACCTGTCGACTGTCTCTGAAGAACGCGACTGCTGACACCATCCTCGTGTGCCCTGGCATCGTCCGCATCGGCGTCAGTTGTATTATCTGCTCCGGTGTCGCGAACCCTCTCACAGCCAGATATGCGGTTCTTGCTCCATCAAGCACACTTGCTAACATGTCATGCTGGCCTACTAGACAGGGAGATGGCATCAGTAAACTACAAATTTCTCCACAGAAAGTACGAACACAGCGTTTTTGTGACAGCCAGCCACAGACACCACAATGCCGCCAGTCACAGCAAATAACAGCCACAAAGTCTACATCATCTCCAGTCACTCACAGTGCTACAGAATGACTTCCTTGTTCCATGTTTATTTCGCTTATCTCATCTTATTCCTGTCAAACTCCTAACTACACCCATTTGTTCGTTGTTTCTACAGTTGCTCGATGTCGCCATCGGCCGAGCAGCTGAGCTCCTTACTACCCATTCCTTACTGTTACCTTTGACGTTTCTGTGTCTCCCCGAAAAGGCTACTACGCTGATTGCTTAAATACGGCACTCAGTAGTAGTGCTACGTTAAAGTTTTCTGGACCCCCAAATATCAGACTTTTACCCTGTTATTTCCCGAGAGCATTCTTCTCTTGTGCCGCTGACTTCGAGCTTCGCGCGCTGGGTAGTCATCGTCACATCTTTTTTAACACCCAAAGTCTACCCACTTTTACTACCCTTTTACCTCACCTCTCGTCACTGGAACGATTATGGGCCGCACGTCTGCATGAAACGTTTAGAACTAGAACAGCGATCTGAATGCTGCGGGAAGTCGTCCACTACGGTACCAGAAGCACTTTTCCCACACCACCTTCAAAAACCAGAAAAAGTCCTTCGTTTCTGCCTTGCAATCCTACCCTTTTTGTTTCAGGGAGGCATGACAAAAGATGCTTTAGTGCTTCCCGAAGTTTCCGTACTATAGTAGCTCTCCACTAGTACTCTCGAGCGCAAGTTCGCCCAGACAATCGTGCACGTGTGCACGCCTGTTATAATTAACTCACTCAGACATGATGACGTTGGAGAGATAAGCGGATCTATAGAAGCGTCACTATGTCCGTAAAGAAATACAACAATTGTTTCGTATGGTAAGACCTCAGACTACGGTATGATTCTAAACATTCACAGCTTTTCCTTTAGTTACCTGCATCCTTCTTGGCAGCGTACACAAGCAAGTCACACACACGCCTCGAGTAGCCCCACTCGTTGTCGTACCATGAGATCAACTTCACGAACTGCGAGTTGAGCATGATACCAGCATTAGCATCGAAGATGCTCGATGCAGGGTGACCGAGGAAGTCCGTCGAGACGACCTGTTCATCGGTGTAGGCGATGACGCCTTTGAGAGGGCCCTCAGAAGCGGCCTTCATTGCCTTCTTGATGTCATCGTATGTGGCGGGCTTCTTGAGGCGCACGACAAGGTCGACGACGGAGACATCCAAAGTGGGAACACGGAAAGAAAGACCACTATAAGGACGTACTTAGCATCTCAGAGTTATGGGAAAAGTTCGATATCACATACGTGAGCTTGCCGTTTAGGGAAGGAATGACCTTGCCGACCGCCTTAGCGGCACCCGTGGAGGACGGGATAATGTTGTTGTTAACAGCACGGCCACCGCGCCAGTCCTTGTTGGAAGGACCGTCAACAGTCTTTTGAGTAGCTGTCGTCGCGTGGATGGTTGACATGAGACCCTCCTCGATGCCAAAGTTGTCATCGATCACCTTAGCGAGGGGAGCAAGGCAGTTGGTCGTGCAAGAAGCGTTAGAGATAACGGTGTGCTTGGAGTCATAAGTGTCGAGGTTGACACCGCACACAAACATGGGTGCGTCAGCTGAAGGGGCGGAGATGATGACCTTCTTTGCACCACCCTTCAGATGAGCAGAGGCCCTGGGAGTAATCTTATTAGAAAGCACTCGATTAATAATAGAAAATCCTCACTTTTCAATTGTAGTGAAGACACCCTATTCACGTCGTTCCAATCAGCTTTCAACTTGAAGAGGGTGCAATAGTCGGGAACTTACAGTGGACTCGACGACGTAATGGGCGCCGACCGAACCCCACTTGATGTTGCTGGGATCCCGCTCACCGAAAACGTGAATGGGCTTGTTGTTGATGTATAGCTTTCCATCTGCAGTGTGGACATCGCCCTTAAAGCGGCCGTGGACGGTGTCGTACTTGAACATGTAAACCTACATTTCCCACCGATCAGATCGAATTCGGTACAGGATGATATGTTCATCTACTGACCATGTACTCCAACTCAATGAAGGGACTGAAAACGAGAATCAGATGAATCTTTGGAAAATAGGAGGTGAACCCACTCATTGATGGCAACGACCTCGATGTCCTGGTTCTCGAGGGCATTACGCATGACGATACGGCCAATACGACCTGAACGTAAGATATTGTGTCAGAAATATTCAAGGATAAAGAGCATATACTCACCGAAACTATACAGCGACGAAGGAGACAACATCCGATTAACGACAAACGCCTCGACTGACGATGATAACATACCCATTGATACCGACTTTGACCTACACGATGGATGTTATGAGCAACCAAACATATGCCTGTTGGACGATTATGTGCTTACCATGTTGGCTGAGAAATTATAGTGGTGATGGGATGAGGTGGAGAAATACGGGCGAGATGAACCTTTTATACTAGAATCAATATATTTGGGTGGGTTAATCTAATCAGTACTGATACGATAACGTCAACTTGGCAAACCCCCCAAAATAAACGTTTCTCGCAATTGCTAAGCACCAACACTGCTCGCACTGGAGGTATGTTAGTAAGTATGTCCGTCTCTCTCTCTGCACCCCTACAAGCTATCTGTAAGCTAAGGACAGCAAATTTTAGAAACGCGAGTTGTTGGTCAAGTTGCCTCTCATTGTTACATAATCAAATTGATTTATCGGACATCGTTCGGCTTGTATTTCTCAGCTAGCATCGTACCATCGGCATCGCACCATGATCATTCAATTAGCCGCTGCCCAGCCTCCTTCGCAATCTTGTTCGTTCTCGTTCTCGCTTTCCTTTCCTTACGATGCTTCTAGGCAACTTTTGATTCGAAGCACATGCAGACTCCGGAGTATCAGGCCTCACTGGGTATCAGGTGTGTTTGTTTATTGGTGAGGTTCTCGGCGCGGACCTGGCGCGGACAAACGGAATCATCACCTCCGAGTTGCCTGATCAATCGAATCTCACCCATCGATCAAGTAATACTCGACCCCTGACTATCTGAATTCGGCTCATCAAAACATTGCCGTCAGATATCTAGAGGCAGTGTCGAACGTGCACAGAGTCTTGGAGCAAGCCTGACTCGCTGTAACTCGTGGTGACAGTCTAACGGAGGCTAGCCGACAGTAGCATATGCATTTCTCACAACATCCCCATTCCACTCTCACTTCAATCGCTAGGTCATGTAGGCTGTTAAGTCACAGGTTGCATGTTTAGAAATTGGAACCCATCTTAGGTCAAGATCATGCGCGGGTGTTTGGATTCAGCAACACTTTAAGCTTCAAGTCCACGCACGGACTAAAATAATACTATGTTTCTGGCAACTGCAATCGGTGCAAATTAGACTAAGTTTTGTGCGCCCTGGAGTCGGTATGGGACTATGTAGAAACAGGCCTCGGCCGTGACGCACCAAATGACGGCACTAAAGCGCAGTCACTCCTGATGTCACCTAACCACATCCGTATTGAAAAGTAGTGTCCTGCATTTGACATATTCCCAACTGCCTCATATTTGGCGAGTAGAGATCAAGCGCTAAGAGGCGCTAAGCAGCGCGGTTAACATAGGTTATAAATGCATCGCAGCTGATTTAAATTAAGCAGTTATTCCCCCCCTGTCATACCAGCATCCCACACAGTCCAGCGGTCTTCTTGTAAAGCAATTTCTTGGCCTCGTTGCCAAGGGGATCCTCTCCAATTATCAACCTCAGAGAGCGCAGATTCTAATAGTGGAATGAGGGTATCTGCATTCTGCTTGAACAGAACTTCGGACGACGATGAAGTCGGGACGCGCATGCGCACTGCTTGAAATTCAGTGTCATTCGGAGAATGGTTCTGGCGCATTGCAAGCGCATGATCTCCCAGAATAGCAATAAACCCAGTCGATTCGCTTGGTTCGCGAGAGGAAGTGAGGAATGCGAACGGTGTGGCTGGTGTGACAGGTTGATCACTATCACCCAGAAATGATGAAACTAACTATCCAGGGGAATGATTATGGGCTCACATCCAGCGTTCTTCATACTGCTCCTGTTCTCCTGTCTGGGGGTTTACCCCGATTCCAGTTTCTACTTCTTCCCCATCACATGAGGTCATAGTGCCTTCATCAGGAGGACCATTTCGTCCTTGGGAATCAATATAATGATTCCATCGGAAACGCAGAGGAGTGGATGAAAGTGTAACACGGATTCCAGCAAAGCCCCACATAATGGTGCTATCCGGTAGTAAAGGCTTTGAGAGACGTAAGTCGAGGTACAGTTGGGTGGAATCTTTGGAATGCGTGTCACTTGTGGACCGGGAGGAAAGCACGAGAACATCGGAGTCTTCAAATGGTTGTCCACCATTCCTAGAAATACTTTTTCTGATTGTTATCGAGGGCGTGCCATATAATAGAGGCTCAGGCTGCTCTAGCACATAGTTGTTCATCCTTGTAAAGAGTCAAGGACTGGCCGCCGTTATTATAACCGAATAATCCGATCATATCATTGGTGAAAGACACAATTATCCGAGTCAACAAAGCCACATACAATCGAGCCGTATTAAGTCACGTGACCTCTAGACTTTTTCGCGTTCTGCCGCTTGTAAGTATGAGGAGGACAGTCACTGGTCAATTTCTACTGCACAAGCTGCCCTTGCGATCTTTGAAATATTGAGCGCGCGCTCGATATTCGTCTAAAGTAGTGTTGGATTTGTGCGACCTACGTCATGCAAAAGACTATCCTTCCCCTCGGTCTACTCGATTTTAGCCTTGCTCATGTCCAATCGGTAAAATGGGGACGTCATTCACGGAACTTACACCAGGCAGTAGCCCTTGCGCCGTCTCCTACGCCGTCTTTTGAGTCCGCTGAGGAAAAAAGCGTGTTTTCTAGGTGGGTTGTCGTTCTATATCAGTTGTCCAAGCTCATGCAGCACAGACGGCGTGGACGCCGCAGGGCACCAGGCAATTCGACAATCAGGGACTCTGGAAAATTGATCTCTTCCCCTGTGTTCAAGCTGCCCAAAAGCTTTACATCTCCAATGTCCGAGCTCGAAAGAAGAGTCCTTGCGTTACAAACCACACAAGTGCCATTGGATGACTTGCGCTCCCAGTCGGTGGGCTTTCACTTTTGAATGTAACCCTTCCTGTACACTTTCTGATGTTTTGCTCAGCTGGAGGTAACTCCGGAGTCGGAAGCAGCGCTTTCCCCTCGTTACACGGATGAGGAGTTATTCTCAATGTATGAAGACTTGCTGGAAACACCACTCGCTCAACAACCTGTAGAGGTCACGAAACTCTCTGAGGGAGGCAGAGATACGCAAGCTATGATTGAAGTGAGACAACGGGTCCACGTTTATGTACGTCTTTTAAACTTTCATTGGAGTCAAGTATCTTACAGACCTTATAGATGCAAGATGGAGACTTGGGCAGCGCGGAAAGTGCAATAGAGTCTACAAAGGTTATTATCATAATTTCACCTCGCTTTCAGATGTTCATGAACAGCTTAGCTTTCCGGTGTCACACCGCCCGAAGACACCATTAATATGGTGCTTGGATATCACGCATTGCATGGAAATATAGAACGATTTGAAAGATTTATGGCAGATATTTTAACCGGTTCGTATTCCATTCATGCACTTGCAGCTGTTGATTAACTGTATTTATGCATAGGCAAACCTTCTGAGACTCAAAGAGATCTGCATATTAAGTCGTACCTGCGTGACCCGAGTGTCTTTGTGTCGCGCGCATTTCCCACTCGTGCAATCGACCTTCTGCATAAGTATGAGGCTTCTGGGCTCCATGCCCCCATGAAGTCCTATACACGTATTATATCCTCCCTATTCTCCGTCCGCCCCTCTCCTTCATGTCCTTCGATATCCTCAACACCAGACGTACCACTGGGAAGACTGGCTGCACATTCACAAGCTTGGGACCTTTTCGCGCACATGCGCTACGTTGCGCACCCGACCCCAGATGCTCATCTCTACGCACTGATGATCCGCGCTTGTGCTTCAGCTCCTTTATCTCCCGAACCCGAGCGCGCCCTGGACCTGTGGACTGAGATGCTCGACGCGGGAATCGTGCCGACCAAAGGGGCATACGACGCAGTGATTCGCGCCTGTGCGAAGGCTGGAGGAGAATGGGTCCATGAGGCCATCAGGTTTGCGCGGGAAATGCGCGACCGCTTTGGAGGTAGTTCTTCTGCGGTTGGTGGTGATGATCTTCAAGGGATCGGTGGGCCACGTACTTGGATGGCTCTGCTGGATGGCTGTAAGCGCGTTGGCGATCTGGGGCGTGCTAGATGGATCCTGGCAGAAGCTGTAAGAGCTGAGGGTCTAAATGAGGAGATGATGCAGCACATGTTCCATGCTTACGCCGCGTATAGACCCCCATTCAAAAGGGGTGCAACCAGGATCGTGGACGACGGAGCGGTTGTAGCACCAGCTACCCTCCCAGACCAAGTGAAACCGCTAACAAGCGCTACTGAGGGCTCATCAGACTTGGCTTCAGTATCTGCAGATGCATCTTCCGACTCTGATGCAGTTCCGACCGATTTGTCGCATATGGGTACCGTGCCTTCATTTTCACACCTCCCGCCCCAATCACCAGGCGAGGTCATCGCAGAGGCCAGGGCTCTCTTCGACAGAATTCTTCATGATACCAACCCTACCTCTCATTCATCATCTAATGTGCCTCCCGAGCCCCTTGCTGGAAAATTTAATGTCACACTTACACCACGCCTCCTCAATGCGTACATGTCCGTGTATTACTCGCATGCGAGTATCGAAAGCGCGCGTGACGTATTTGAGAGGCTGTTTTCTTCTCGTGGCGTTGGCCTTATGGGTGATTCACGCACTTATGTCGATGCCCTCGAGAAGTGTGCACTTGCAAGGCCACGTGAACGTGACATTGCAGGGAAATGGGTGGAAGAGCTATGGACGCGCTGGGAAGAGCTTGAGCGCCAGTGGATCAATGGGATCGCAGAGACGACAATGACTGCCAGGCTAGTAGAGAGAGCACATAGTGCTGTCAGAAGAGCTCATCTCCTGTCGGTCTTCTATTTCTTCAACGTTTATGGTCACACTAATTCCCTCGTTTAGAAATAATAATGTCGACCGTGCAATTACACTAGTCCGCACGTTTATGTCGCGTTATCCTCCGACCGCGCTGCTGCCTCCAGCCCGTAATCCATCGTCTGCTCGTGTAGATGCTCCCAGTCAAGATGTCATGAACAAACGTAAAATTACCCTCTTTGCAAAACCACCCATCCTCTCGACACGTACGATTCTCAGTAATCCATCCGCTACGCCTCGTCCCCTCGTGCGCCTCACATCAGCCATTGGTCCACCTGACGAACGTGTCCCACCTTTGCTGAGTTTCGCGGATGTTGAATTACTGCATGCCCGTTTAGTGGAACAGGGTAGGGGCAAAGAAGTAGGGTTTCTCAAGTGGGCGTGTAAGGCATATGAGGGAGCGCTAAGAACTCGTAGGGAAGCTGTCCTTGGAGCACAGGTCTCCGTGGGAGAGGATGTCCAATGAGAGGTGACTATTGTCCATACTATATCTAAGTAAATTAATTACAACACTATTTAGGGGGAGCAGTTCATGGTTTTTTGACGCTCAATCCTTGTTCCCAGTTCCAATGACATGGGCCGCCCATGATGCGAGTCATGTGCCTGTTCTCAACGGCATCTACGTATCCTGTAAAATCATGGCAACATCATACAGTGAGATTCTTTTGTCTCTGGTGCCTAGCGCATTGACCCTGCACCCGGGCTCTCGTTGACCTGTCTCATCGTTGTCAACGTGGCTGAAGAGGTTCATAAAGTATCTCATGCTCCTGATATATACCGGTTTCTTTCGGTCAACCAATAGGTCAGATGTTTACTGGGTCCAGGGCCGATAGACCTGGTTTGGTGTTCTCTAGCTCGTTATCTTGACACTCTTCCAGCAGAGCGCTGAAACCTTCATATAAGTTACTGCAACCGGACACACAATGTTACGGATAAGTCGTGGACGGCCCATGATGCTATCATGTAAGTAGTCCACTTTTATTTAGTACCCGGTCTCCTCATGATCAAAGGTGCCGGTTCCTGGACCTGAACGTTAACGCAGCTGAGCGATTTTTCCTCTCTCGGTTCCTCCGCTTCTGATCAAGCTACTAGCTTCGTATCTCAACATTTATACAATGGTCATTCTATCAGCACGCATGTCGAGTTTGCCTGCCCACCCGGCGGCAATCTCGCCAGTGTAATGCTCGGTCCCAGCCCAACCACTAATTGTCCGATCCCAATGTCTCGGCGAATCGCGATAGATGAAGCTGGATAACAAATCTCGATAAAGGTAGCGAGCGTAGATTTGACAGCAGCGGATGCGATCGCAACTTGAACACACGCGAGGACAGCAGGAACCTAGCATTTACACATGTACACAGGCCTGAGGGCCTGACAGATGAAGAAATGAGATTTCATGCTTCGTGATCAGTGGGGTACACCGAAAGTAAGTTCTACTCCTAGTACCAGCGTTTCAATGGCTCATGCTTGGACTTTGAATGAACAAGCTGCGAGTCTGAGAAGGATACCCAACATCACTTACACATCTTTTGAGACTGAACTTAGTTGCTGGTTCCCGCGTCAATTAAGCCTGGTTGCCCTGGCAAGGGGAATACCGGCATGTATAACTAAACCTACTAAACGTTTGCGTTCACACTTTAGATCATCGATGTCAACCATGGCATTGCTAACTCAGCCTGATCCGCGCCAACCTTGATTTCCCTGATCAAGCGTGGCAGATCGCACACTAATAATTAAATACTAACTTAAGCCTATGCATGACCACTAATTAGGTGACGACCGGCCGTGCCATGTCACATGTCTGGCAACTTATTCCATACACAGGGAAATTCAAGTTGCACCAACCCTGCAGGCCTGAGCGTTGTCGATAAAGGTCTCTTCAGAGTGTCGCGCACACTCATTCTATTCTCATGAATAGTCATTATACCCTCTCTGCTCAAATTTCACTGCCGCTGCCACCTCGAGGTGTAAATGTAAATGCCATTCGAGGGCTTTTAGTCTTGCTTGTGGTACCCTAACTGACGGCCCTTAACGTGTCCACAGAATGTCTTTAGTGAGTCAAGTGTTCTATCTTGTGCAGCTCACCATGCTTATAAAACTTGCTTGCTGAAAGTCGTCCTTGCGACAATTGTGGTACGTTATCCTGTGGTGTTGCCGGAGTGGAACAGATAACAACACCGTACGCTCGGACTAGGTGTACGATTTCGTAACTAACCTAGGCGACGAGGTACGCAATGTGTCCCGTGTAGTGGGGTGATTGGTTCAGAACTCCAACAGTTTGACTATCTCTTGGGTTCTCGAATGACACTGGCAAAAGGGCTATTTCTTGGATGTCGTTACACACCCTTCGCGATATGCGCCCTGCACGTTCGAAGTACATTGGTCGCTGTCTTAATCTCACAACTCACTAAACGAGACGTTGTTCGCAGTGGGCCTCTCACCGAGCGTTGAGGTATGTATGCGACTAAGAAACACGGAAAAGTTTGGCTTACAATGGTGCTAGGGTTGCCCGGGACTTGCTGAAAGTAACATACGTCAGCGAGCGTAATATCTATGACCTACTCGCCCGCTGACCGATGGCGATAGTGCTCCTTGGGATTGTTCTACTCTGCGCGGAGTGTAAGGGATACATTTATCGAATGAATATCACTGAGGTCGGCGTACATAGGTGTCTTTGTTCTACCAACATATGCGTTATGGAACTGCGACCGACGTGTTCGAATAGCGCTATTAGTATCGTATTTGGTGAGTACCCTCACCCAAAGAAAAAAGAAGGAAAAAGCTTTTTTAACCTCCTTACTTCCAACTCTGATTAGGGCTTTTTCTGTGGGATGATATTACTAGTAGTGGCATCCGGGCTACAATCGAACATAGCGAATTGTACGCGTTTTCAATTTGAAGTCGCTACTTATGTCTGGAGCAGGACTCTTGCAGTCGCACCAGGTTGTTACTCCGATACTTCGGTTTCGGGCGATTTCATTCTCGCACCCTATATCTTTTTGTTACTCCTTGAAATCGGTCTGTCGTTCATTGCCCAACCTGGACATTACAACTAAAACCACAACTATTGCGCAGAGATTGTTGGTCTCACCTTGTACAGAATGATCAGACACTATCGTGCTACACGCTGCCGGCTTTTAACATTGCTGGCACAATACAGCGTAGGCTATATCGTTACTGGGCTATGTGAGCGAATAGAACAACGTTGATACGACACACTAATCTTTTACAGTATTCACCATAGTCAATATCGTTACGAACTGCATTGTTCCGGTATGTATCCTCAACGCCTAGTCTTCTCAACTCATGAAATAACCTCGTGGTTCCACAGGGCGATTATGGCCCAACGCTTGAAGGGTGAGATGTCTCCAACGAGAAGTTTGTGCATGCTTATTGTTTTTAGGTCACAGATCGTAGCACAGGGTCTTCTTGCAACTCGAATGCAACTTGACCTATGGAAGCTTAATCGCCACTCACCGGCAGTGGCTCCTACATCGATCTCGACCGAGTACTCACAAACGGATCTGGAATTTGAGTTGTCACAAAGAGCATCCATCGTACCCAGTGGCACTGTACCAGTAATCTAGCAAAGTTCGGTGCAAGCGCGATGCCGAGACCATCTCCCTCCTTGAACATGATTATCACCTGGCTGGCTGAGTGGACCTATCTCATCGCTGTCAACGTGACCGAAGAGGTTCATAAAGTATCTCATGCTCCTGATGTATACCGCTTTATTTCGGTCAACCAACAGGTCAGATGTTTACGGTTCCAGGGTCGATAGACAGGTTGGTTTGGTGTTCTCTAGCTCGTTGTCTTGACACTCTTCCAGCAGAGCGCTGAAACCTTCATATAAGTTACTGCAACCGGACACACTATGTTACAGATAACTTTGTGGACGGTCCATGATGCTACCACGTAAGTACTCCACTTTTATGTAGTACCCGGTCTCCTCATGAGAAAGGTGCCGGTTCCTGGACCTGGGCCTGAACGTTAACGCAGCTGAGCGATTTTTCCTCTCGGGTTTCCTTCCCGCTTCTGATCAAGCTACTAGCTTCGTATCTCAACATTTATACAATGGTCATTCAATCAGCACGCATGTCGAGTTTGCCTGCCTACCCGGCGGCAATCTCGCCAGTGTAATGCTCGGTCCCAGCCCAACCACTAATTGTCCGATCTCAATGTCGTGGCGAATCGCGATAGATGAAGCTGGATAACAAATCTCGATAAAGGTAGCGAGCGTAGATTTGACAGCAGCGGATGCGATCGCAACTTGAACACATGCGAGGAGTCGCCGAGGACAGCAGGAACCTAGCATTTTACAGACTTGAAAGCCTGACAGATGAAAAAATGAGATTTTATGCTTCATGAGCCTATCAGCGGGGCACACCGGAAGTAAGTTCTACTACTGGCCTTTCGATAGCTCGTGCTTGGATTTCGAATGGACAAGCTGCGAGCCTGAGAAGGATATCCAACGTAACTTACATACTTTGAGACTGAACTTAGTCACTGGTTCCCGCGTCAATTAAGCCCCAGACAAGGAAAATGCTGGCATGCATAACTACTAAACCTACTAAAGTTAGTAGTTTGTGTTCACACTTTAGATCATCCATGTCACCCATAGCCTGCTTTGGCATTGCTAACTCAGCCGGCCTGATCCGCGCTAACATCAAGTCTGGCCAACAGATCGCACACTAATACTAACTTGAGCCCATGCATGACCACTGATGTTACGTGACGACCGGTCGGATGCCTGGCAAATTGTAACTTAACTTATTATTCCATACATAGGGAAGTTGCACCTCAACGTTCAACATTCAACCCTGCAGGCCTGAGGGTCGTCGATAAAGGTCTCTGGAGAGTGTCGCGCACACTCATTCTATTCCCATGAATAGTCATTACACCCCTGCTCAGGCTGCTCAAATTGCACTGCCGCTGGCACCTCGAGGAGTAAATGTAAATGCTATTCGAGGGCTTTCAGTCTTTCTTGTGGTACCCAACTGACGACCCTTAATGTGTCCACAGAATGTCTTTAGTGAGTCAGATATTCTACCTTGGACAGCCCACTGTGCTTATAAAATTTGCTACAAGTCGTCCTTGTGACGAGTGTGGTGCGTCATCCTGTGATGTTGCCAGAGTAGAACAGATGACAATATCGTACACTCGGACTAGCTGTACGATTTCATGACTAACCTAGGCGATGAGGTACGTGATGTATCCCATGTAGTGGGGCGATTGGTTCAGAACTCCAACAGCTTGACTACCTCTTGGGTTCTCGAATGACACTGGCAAAAGGGCTATTTCTTGGATGTCGTTACACAACCTTCGCAATATGCGCCATACACGCTCGAAGTACGCCGATCACTGTTTTAATCTTACGACTCACTAAGCGAGACATTGTTCGCAGTGGTCCTCTCACCGAGTGTTGAGGTATGTCTGCGATTAAGAAACACTGGAAACTTTTGACTTACAATCGTGCGAGGGTTGCCCGGGGCTTACTGAAAGTAACATATGTCAGTACGCGGAATCTACATGACCTACTCGCCCGCTGAACGATGACGATAGTGCTCCTTGGGATTGTTCTACTATGCGCGGAATGTAAGGGATATACTTTATTGAATGAATATCACTGACGTCGGCATACACCTAGGTATCTTTGTCCTACGAACATATGCGTTGTGGAACTGTGATCGACGTGTTCGAATAGCGTTGTTGATATTGTATTTGGTGAGAACCTCGCTCCCCCCTCAAATAAAAAATGAATAAAAGAGCTTTTTTTAACCTTCTTACTTCCAACTCTAATCAGGCTCTTTTCTGTGCTACGATAATACTAGTACTAGGATGCGGGCTACAATTGAAGAATACTAAATGTACGTCTTTCCAAGTTGAAGTCACTATTTATGTCTGGAGCAGGACTCTTGCAGTCACAACAGGTTGTTACTCCGATAGTTCGATACCGACCAATTTGATTCTTGCACCCTATATCCTTTTGTTACTCCTTGAAATTGGTCCGTCGTTTCATGGTCCAACCTGGACATTACAACTAAAACCACAACTCTTGCGCAGAGGTTGTTGGTCTCACCTTTTACAGAATGATCAGATACTACCGTACTACACGTTGCCGGCTTTTAACATTGATGGCACAATACAACGTAGGCTATATCCTTGCTGGGCTATGTGAGTGAATATAACCTGGGAGTTGATACGACACACTGATCTTTTACAGTATCCACCATAATCAATATCGTTGCAATCTGCTTTGTGCCGGTATGTATCTTCAACGCCTAGGCTTCTCAACTCATGAAATAACCTTGTGCTCCAGGGCGATTATGCCCCAGTGCTTGAAGCGTAAGATGTCTCTAACAAGAAATTCGTGCATGCTTATTGTTTTAGGTTACAGATCGTGGCACAGGCTCTTCTTGCAACTCGAATGCAACTTGACCTATGGAAGCTTAATCGCCACTCACCGTCAGTGGCCCCTACATCGTACTCGACCGAGTACTCACAAACGGATCTGGAATTTGAGTTGTCACAAAGAGCATCCACCATACCCAGTGGCACTGTACCAGTAATCTGCGATGTACATGTTCCTACCTCTGGCTAAACCACAGTGGGTTCATGGTACTGAGGGAAATGCGCAAAGTGGCGTCCATGAGCCCTGTTTGATCACACAAAGCGGCAGAGTTAGTTCTTCCAGTTCTGTCCGAAGTTGATTGGACCCTTGTGACATCGCATAAACTGACTTCCGTAGCTCAGGAGTAGCGGGAAAGCCACAAGCAAGGAGAAATGACATCAGGTAACTGACCCGAAAACGATAAATTTTTGAAGAGCTTTATCTGATTTAATATGTGTATAATATCTATCAGAATTACACCCCATAGTAAGAGAAAGCTTTGAATTTGACAAAGACTAAACTATGCTCTCGCCAGGTCCTTCTAGATAATCCGTTCGAGCTCATCCTATCTCGTCTTCTTAATACTTTCCATCATCTCCCTCTCGCCAGGTCCTTCTAGATAATCCGTTCGAGCTCATCCTATCTCGTCTTCTTAATACTTTCCATCATCTCCCTCTCACCAAGTCCTTCTACATAATCCACTCAAGCTCGAATCTTCCTGCATCTCCTAAAATCATACCATCTACCTACATCTCGAATGTCTGCACGTTCAGGTATGCAAAGTCTGGCGTGTCGAAACTGATGAGCAAGGACATCGCCGTCGCCCGCAAGTGAAGGGAGTTGCTTGCCGTCAACGGTGCACTCGCCCAGCGCTGGGAGGGCTCACCAGATCTGCCGCAGCCCTCGTTACTACCAGTGTGATTACTGCAGCACATGTTAGCTGTGTCGTCTCCCCCACCTTCGAACAGCTTCTCTCTTCGTTATCCTTTTGGTTTTATTTCGCCATGACACACCTTACGATACGCCCGCCTACATAATCTAATGTCGCTAATTAGTAGAGGGCCTGCAAGTATGTCAAACTTTAATGCACTCGTTGGCCACTAGTTACTGCTTGAGCTGCTGTAGGAAGTTGGGACCATAAACAAGACCGCAAATCTTCCACGACCGACCGTGACTTTCTCGCAGGAAACTGCTAGCATTTCGATGGCTCATGCTTGAATTTCAAATTGACAAGTTCTAAGTGCTAGTCTGAGAAGGATACCCAACGTAACTTACATACTTTGAGACTGAACTTAATCACTGGCTCCCGCCGCGTCAATTGAGCTTGCCAGGCTGCCTTGGCAAGGGTGTTCCTGAAAAATATTGGTATGTATAGTAGTTATTTATGGCTCGTTTGGGTGTCTAATGGGCCTCGCACGATTTATGGAGGCGCACGCACGCCGATATAGCCAAACCACGGTCCCTCGATACGCAGAGGGACCAGCTGCAATTATTGACTAGTAGTATGATGCGGCAAAAGGTATCCAACATCAAGGCTGGCAGATCACACACTAATACTAACTTAACCCCATGCATGACCACGAATGTTACGTGACGACTGGCCTATGGCATGTCTGGCAAATCGTAACTCATTATTCTATACATAGGGAAGTTGCACTTCAACGTCCAACCCTGCAGGCCTGAGCGTCGTCGATAAAGGTCTCTCGAGAGTGTCGTGCACACTCATTCTATTCCCATGAATAGTCACTACACCCCCTCTGCTCAAATTGCACTGCTGCCACCTCGAGGTGTAAATGTAAATGCCATTCGAGGGCTTTTAGTCTTGCTTGTGGTACCATAACTGACGGCCCTTAATGTGTCCACAGAATGTCTTTAGTGAGTCAAGTGTTCTATCTTGTGCAGCTCACCATGCTTATAAAATTTGCTGAAAGTCGTCCTTATGACAGTTGTGGTGAGTTATCCTGTGATGTTGCCGGAGTGGAACAGATAACAACACCGTACGCTCGGAATAGCTGTACGATTTCGTGACTAACCTAGGCGACGAGGTACGCAATGTATCCCACGTAGTGGGGTGGTTGGTTCAGAACTCCAACAGCTTCACTATCTCTTGGGTTCTCGAATGACACTGGCAAAAGGGCTATTTCTTGGATGTCGTTACTCACCCTTCGCGATATGCGCCCTGCACGTTCGAAGTACATTGGTCGCTGTCTTAATCTCAAAACTCACTAAACGAGACATTGTTCGCAGCGGGCCTCTCATCGAGCGTTGAGGTATGCATGTGACTGAGAAACACAGGAAAAGTTTGACCTACAATCGTGCGAGGGTTGCCCGGGGCTTACTGAAAGTAACATATGTCAGTACGCGGAATCTACATGACCGTCTCGCCCGCTGACCGATGGCGATAGTGCTCCTTGGGATTGTTCTACTATGCGCGGAGTGTAAGGGATATGTTTTATCGAATGAATGTCACTAAAGTCGGCATACACCTAGGTATCTTTGTCCTACGAACATATGCATTGTGGAACTGTGATCGACGTGTTCGAATAGCGTTGTTGATATTGTATTTGGTGAGAACCCCCCCTCCCCCCCTCAAATAAATAGAATAAAAAAGCTTTTTTTAACCTCCTTACTTCCAACTCTAATCAGGCTCTTTGCTGTGGTATGATAATACTAGTACTAGCATGCGGGCTACAATTGAAGACGACTAAATGTATGTCTTTTCAAGTCACTATTTATGTCTGGAGCAGAACTCTTGCAGTCACATCAGCTTGTTACTCCAATAGTTCGATGCCGACCAATTTGATTCTTGCACACTATGTCCTTTTGTTACTCCTTGAAATTGGTCCGTCGTTCATTGCCCAACCTGGACATTACAACTAAAACCACAACTTTTGCGCAGAGATCGTTGGTCTCACCTTTTACAGAATGATCAGATACTACCGTACTACACGTTGCCGGCTTTTAACATTGATGGCACAATACAACGTAGGCTATATCCTTGCTGGGCTATGTGAGCGAATAAGTACAACGACGTTGATACGACACACTGATCTTTTACAGTGTTCACCATAATCAATATCGTTACTATCTGCTTTGTTCCGGTATGTATCCTCAACGCCTAGTCTTCTCAACTCATGAAATAACCTTGTCGTTCTACAGGGCGATTATCGCCCAGTGCTTGAAGCGTGAGATGTCTCCAACGAGAAGTTCGTGCATGCTTATTGTTTTTAGGTCACAGATCGTAGCACAGGGTCTTCTTGCAACTCGAATGCAACTTGACCTATGGAAGCTTAATCGCCACTCACCGTCAGTGGCTCCTACATCGTACTCGACCGAGTACTCACAAACGGATCTGGAATTTGAGTTGTCACAAAGAGCATCCACCATACCCAGTGGTACTGTACCAGTAATCTAGCAAAGTTTGGTGCAAGCGCGATGACGAGACCATCTCCCTCCTTGAACATATCTTCTAATTGTCACCTGACAGGCTGAGTGGCGAGACTGGTGAAGTCAACCCACGCTTGAGTACGCGTGAAAGGTTTTGGTAAATAAAAAAAAACTGTACGTTGATGTGAATCGAGTGTCCTGGAATAAGGTTGATATCGTGCAGCAAAACTGTCGTGCCAGAGTGATCAAAACGTCACAACCATGAGCATGCAACTGGCGCTGCGTAGTTATATGACTGGTGTGCATGGCGTTAATATTCCAGGAAAAATGACACCCCTGACATATTCAGAGGAGAATCCCTTGAACTACAGAGATGATTTGATGATGTGGTCTTGCCCAGATTAATGGTCACACAAACGCCGACAGTGAGTGGGCAGAACACGCGGATCTGCTCAGCTCTCGGCTATCATGATGAGCACCTGCCGTATGCTGCACCATTCGACAGCTGGTATTTAGGATACGTTAACAACGGACACACATACGATAGGATAAGTTATAACTTAACAAATGTACCTGAACAGGGACCACCGATGCATCCTTGCCTCGCCTCCTTGCCCTATGTATATCCTCGGTAATTTGCGCAGCCTGGACGTGTATCGTGACGGAGATGCCCTCCACCCTGTGCAGAGCATGCTGATTTATTTCAAGACTGAGCTTCCGATACCCATCTCTGTGATATATTTGTCACTCCCACGTCTTCTCATTTCTTCCACGACTTCTCCAACCTTCTGGAACTCGGACCAACCCTGGTAATTCTCATCGTTGGTAAGATCTATAGGTTCCACAAATCGCACTCTTAGGGCTAGCCACTGCATAGATTTGATGTTGGCGACGAATTCTTCGACGTTTTCCTGTGAGCCTTGTGCATAAATGATGCCTGGGTAGCCGACTTTAGCGAAGCCAGATATCGAAAGGTCAGAGGACCATCGCTGTAATGACCGCCGTTTTGTTGGGGACACGAGATGATGAGATGTCAGGAGCGCATGGTAGTCTGCTGTCTCTGGGAGACGATTGGTGCTCTGCTGTTCTAGTATAACCATACTCTCTGACAGTCCTGTATTGATACTATGTTCGTCTTCGTGGAGTTTCGGCAGCAAGTGCATGCATAGCAACTGGTAGATTGGATAGCTCCGTACAATTCAGCATTCCTCGCACCATAATGAGGAAGACGCCGTGATGCTCACTCTGACTCATTTCCTTGCACCTCGACTAATTTCTCCTGAACAAAGGCCCGCCATCGGCGATGTTCATCTCCGGATATGTTCTCCCCGTTGACAGAAATGAAGGGAACGTTGACATCCGAGTCCTCCGGGTATCGTCCCGGGAACTGCACCTCGAAGGAGATCCGGGCATCCACAACCTTCACTTGGAACTTGACTTGTGGAACTGGGCTGGGCAGAGACGGGAGAGCTGTAGGAGTGTTGAAGGAGTGGAGTAGCGAAGTCCATATTCTAGAATCTTCTGGAGGGAGGACGAAGGAGAATGATTCACCGGGAAGGAGGGAGTGTTGGATAAGCTGAAGTTCTTGGAGCTGACTGTCCAAGCACGTCATAATGGACGGAGCAAAATTGGAGCCGTACCGCTTGTCTATTCGGCCCCGCTGGTATATCCCAATAATATTAATGAAAGCCGATGAGTCATGCGTATCAATAAACCTAAACTCGGCGTTGTTCGGCATATGAATAATGTGCTCATGATGATGTGCCGTGCTGCGTCATTCCACATCATCATGATGATTTTGTACTGCATGGTTAATGTCGACTCACAATGAGTCGACTCTGGCTGTGTCACCGACCACAGTATATAATTACTAGTACGGAGGTGACCGTGTCCGCTTAGAATCCTTTTTTCAATCCCATTTCTCGCAGGCCGTCTTTCAATACAAATATCATCATCTGGCAATTCTCAAGTTCAACCTTACCTGGAACAGCAACTCGGTGGATCACAAATAAAGCTAATCCACGTGTGTATACTGCGCATTTTTGTATCCTTCAGCTCATACACGTCATTCCTTGTCAAGGGCATTTATTACCACTACCAGTCCCGCCGAATGAGCACCGCGGACGCCCTGACGTGTCTGGCATTTTCACCCGACGGCAATAAAATTGCCTGCGGCACTGCTCGTTCGGGGGTGACCATCACCGACATCTCGTCGAAGAGCAAGCATCAACTAGAAATGCTTGCAGAGGCCCATACGCACGTCACTGCTGTAGCATGGTCTCCTGACGGAGAAAAAATTATAATTGCATTGCCAGACCACACGATACGTTGCTGGAACGCTACTTCAACGCACCCTGTAGGATCACCATTTGCAGAGCACAAAGACCTGATCCTCACAGCGGGATTTCTTCCCGACTCATCTCACGCAGTAAGCTTGTCAAGGGATGGGGAGTTGCTCGTGTGGGACACAAGGAGGGGGGTAGTCATTCAACAAGTAACAGTGTCAAATACTACCCAAACGATGTTCGTGGCGGCTCTATCCACGGATAGTAGTCTCCTTTTTACTAGCGATACAAAGGAGGGCATTGTATGGGAGATACCAAAGTGTGCCCGAATAGCGGAGATCGCACTTCCAAATGTACCATTACTTCAAGCTGCTATTATTTCGCATAGCCGTCCTCAAGTAGTGCTTGCATTTGGCGACAGGTCTTTCTGGATATGGGACACGAGCACAAAGAAGCATGACGATGCGCGCTTTGAAGGCCTTAGTGAAGATGACATCCCCTTTGCCATGGCGGCTTCTCCTGATGGCAAGCTTCTGGCGCTGGAAATTGATGGCGACGTCAATCACCCCACACATTTCTATGATATGAAGGGTCACGAATTCACTACGTCCAACATGAGATGTACCCATCCATTTGCATTTTCACCAGACGGCAAATTGTTTGCGGCCTCAAGCGTGCCCTCGGATTCGAAGGATGGCATTTATAAGCTAGTCATTCGTTCAGTTGAAGAGGCAAGGATACTTATCCACGTTCAATCCCGACTACTAACGAAACGTACTAGATTATTGGTCGAAGCCCCCTTGATGTAAGATCTAGGTTTATGTGAGAACATTAAACTCATGGTGTGCAACAGTTTCCTGCAACGGTCACCCCGAAAGCCAAAGGAAAACAACGTTCGCTGGGACTCAACCCGGGGTTCTTCGATCAAGCGCCTGTAAGACGTCCCAGACTCGAATTCAAGTATATACTAAAATCGATTTGTTAGATACGATCATCAAGCTCCACTCACGGGCGGGCCTTCTCACGGACCACCAGTCGGGAACGGCGTATCCTACCTCTTCCAAAAATATGGAAACGGATTCGTCATCCTCGATCTTCCAAGGCGAAGTCCACTGTAAGGGAGGCCCGGCAGACATCCTCAAGATCTGCCAGTCGGGAACGGCATGTTCCACCTCTTGGCAACATTTGGACGCGCGTTCGTCACCCTCAATCACACAGGGCAACGTCGACCCCAGATGTTGTCGAGGTAGCGACCGCACAAGCTAAAACGGTATGTTCGGCGTATTCGTTCTCAATGACACATCTCAAGAAATTTCCAGAGGACTGTAGTTTCACGTTCACATCGGACAACGACGGCTCAGTCTTCTAGTGGTGCCAAGGCAAATCCCCGTTCGCAGTCGGCGTCGACTCAGGAAGGCTCGGCTCAGGCTTCTAGTGATACTAGGCATAATTACCAAAGAGCCGCAGCCTCACCTTTGCGTCACGAAGCCACCACTCAGAACGACTCGGCACAGTCTTCTGGGCAAGCCAGACGACCAGGCCACATCGATACAGAGGACCGGGTGAGCGTTGATTCAGGGATTGTCTATGCAGAACGGGATACCGAGAGCGTGAAAGCGCATGGATGTTGGAATATTTTCTGGGATTGGTTGTGCTACAAAGGTGAGTTTTCTCACATCTGGAGTGGACGTAGTCATTTCATGCATTGCATCAGCGTGCTGATACTGTTGGTCTCCCGCTTGACTATGCTCTATGTACGGCATACTCTATGTTAGTATGTAACCTTTTCTCCTGTGGCTCGTCGTGTCAATGCTACATATCTTGTATGGTTTGCAAGGAATTGACATGGTAATTGTTGTGATGAAACTAGCCGATGATCGTGGCGATTAATGTGCTATGATATAAAGGCGGGAATAATCTTCAGGGTCAGTGACCCCAAAGGACAATGGGTATGTTTTTTTAACAAAACATCGAGACCTTGGAACATGCTAATGTTGGCCTACCATTTCTTGCATGCGTTACATCTTCTATGGAATCTAATTAGTCTCCCTGATCAGATTACCCTGCGATCTCACGTCATTCCAATCCCCACAAATGAATTTCCCTTTGCAACAGCCTAAGAGAAGACTTCGCTGTCTTACTGAGGCGAAATTGACGAGGGAGGAAAGATTGCGAAGAGCGTAATGAGAGAAGGTGAGTGGAAGTTGAAATAGGTTTGTGTGATAGGCAGAAGTTACTAAAGCGAGCGGGCGGTTGAGACGAATGACGCGGTTAGTGACACTGGGCAAACGGCATTATCCAGCAAGGAGGGTTAAAGTTAAATTTGCAAGAGGCGGTAGTATTATCTTTGGCCCAGAGTTGCAAATTACAATGTAGCACACTCATTTCCTTCGCACAATGATTCTAGAGGATTATTGGTACGTAGCTTGTTGTATGCATTTTTTATTTCATGAAAAACGGGCTGGAAGTGCTTGCGAAATACTGCGCAGAACATGCATTTTTCATGCTAATATTTCCATTGATCAGAGGGAAGCCATTGCATGCACCAAAAAAATCAGGAATTTTACTAGTAATTTCAAATTGCCTTCTAATTATAACAAGTACTGCTGGTCAGCACACGGAAAATAGACAAATGTATGTAGGCTATACCTACCCGTCCTCCGCGGATGAAAAGGAAGAGACTCGCTATCAGTTATAATTATACTAGATCTAAATCGGGCCGTCCTCATTTGACGCGGGCCTAAGGTAACTGGTTCGGAAACTGTGAAGGCCGGAAGAAGGCATCCTGCTATCATGAAGTGGCATCATCGATGGGCCATCTGCAACGAACGGAGTGGCACGAAGTGCAGATCTGCAATATTCATGCACGTACTTAAGTGGTCATCTTTTGGACTTTTACTAAGCCCATGCGGATGAAGACAAATTGGGTGTCGGGAGGTTTATGTATGCAACTTGACAATGTCATTGAAAAATTGAGCAGCACCTCAAAGAGTCGACCCAATCGATTCAAGCGATGTTGGTTCCATTTTTGCCACTGCGCTCGGGTGTTGCACGCGTCAACAAGTACTGGGCAAGGGAAGCAAGAAGGAAGTCAGAGCACTAATGCTTGCATGAGACTGCCGGAACAAGCAATCTGCAAGAATATTTGGAACGTGACATGCGAGTAACAAAAGCGGCGCGCAGACAAGCCTGCTAGTAGCCATAAAACGGGTCTACTGGTAGTAGACAGTACTTTGGGTTAATTAAGATTTGGGAGGTGCATATATAAGTTGCGCAAAGTCGACATGTAGACAAGTGTCGGTGCAGCAACCCGCGCGCTAGTTTGAGGACTTGAGCAGTTAAATTGAAGTTCGATATTCCAAAAACAACCTGATACTACTCACCAAAAGAACCTCAGCACATCCCAAGCTCATGCACAAGTCATTACTTTGTGCTCAAGATCCTACAACCCCTCCCCGTACTGAGCCATCGCGTCGCTCAAGCCTCATCCCCAAACCTCGGCTGGAAGCGTGCAGTGAACGGTTTGGAGTACAAAATCACGCCATCCACGAAGCCCATCTTATCAGTCGGGTTCTCTAGGTCCCGAGGGATCCCGAACGACCACAGGAGGAGCACGATGTCGATGAAGACTGAACGATCCGCTATGTGCCGCCCGGGGCAGATTCTGCAGGTTGTTTTTCAGCAAGGCTCTACTCGGTCCAATATCAGGCGAGCTGTACCTGCGTCCAAAGCCATATGAAGGGAACTTGATGTCGTCCCAAATTTTGCCTTTGTTGTTGAGCCATCTCTCGGGATCAAATTTGTCGGGGTTGGGGTAAAGACTGGGTCGCGTTGGATTGCCCTGTTAAAGTGTGATCAGCATATTATTCTGTAAATTTCTGCTCGAGCAGCCATAAGAATAGGAAAAACAAGCCAGAGCACTGGAAACGTACATAAACGATATCGGCCAAAGCACAGTGAGAAAATCCAAGGGTTGTTACAGGCCTCCAGCTCCAACATGAACGCTTCGATATGAGGAAGGGAATTGTAGTCAAACGTGGGAGCTGTAGCAACCAGATTGAGATTCGTTCACTAAGATGAGCCTTGACATGCCTCTGTCATAACTAACAACGATCTCCAGCTGCTCTCGCACTTTCTCCTGCACCTTGGGATAACATGGCAAACCATGAAAACATACACGATCGCCACGGCAGTTATGTCTGAACCGGCGCCAAAGAGCGGTCCAGTAAGATAGGTAATTTCTTCGTCCGGAAGCTTGTGTGGGACTGGTTCTCAAGACGGTACCAAGCAAACGAGGAATTGGCCGCCTACAAACAACTGAGGGTCAGGTGGCGTTTAAGAACAAAGTTGAAGAAACGAACCAATTCTCTTGAAACGGGATTGAGTTGGTCATGAAAGACCTAGAAACTCCTTACAAATCCGACTCCTTCCTGACGAAGAAGACCACAGAAACAGGACCAACGTTGGTCGTTAAGGCTAAACACTGATTACAAGGTTCTCCACAAAAAGTGCGAACTTCTGAATCATGATCAACCATGCTCCTCATGTTGCACTCTGAGCCACACCTGCGACACTTTGACCTGTGTATTGGCAGACGCAGAGCTCTTCAGCTTCGATTTGTCTGGATACTGTAGTGGATTGGTAGCTGTCGACCGCAGTGGACACGTGGAACCTTTCGTAATTGACTAGCGCTCAGGATTTCATTTCCTCTCATGCACAGGTAACGGCGGCCATAAACGTGCTGCAGCCTGCCGCAGGCCTAACCTTGAACGTTGACTGGAACGACTCACAGGTTTCTACTACTTCAAGTTCATTACTTGGATTTCTACCAATGTGTGTGTGCATCGCAATTCAAATTTATCTTCATGGATTTGTGCTAATGAAAGGCAGATAACCTGACAGTGCTTGACATTTTCGCCCACTTGCACTCTTTCGCTTCATTTACCCTATGTTCCTCACAGTCCTCGTGTAACTTGATTGTGGCATCATATCATGGCAGACGATGTGGAAAAGTGTCGAGCGGCCTTGAGGAGATATCCCGCCGGCCATTCTCTTCGATCACAGTATCTCAGCAATCTCGCTTCCAGCCTTGCAGACAGATTCAGGCAGCGGGGCGTCCCGTCTGACCTTGATGAGTCCATCGAGCTCAATCGGGCTGCACTACTCCTTCGTCCCCCCGGTCATTCTGATCGATCATACTCTCTCAACAATCTCGCTGCCAGCCTCGCAGACAGATTCGGGCAGCGGGGCGTCCCGTCTGACCTTGATGAGTGCATCGAGCTGCATCGGGCTGCACTACTCCTTCTTCCCCCCGGTCATTCTGATCGATCATACTCTCTCAACAATCTCGCTGCCAGCCTTGCGGTCAGGTTCAGGCAGCGGGGCGTCCCGTCAGACCTTGATGAGAGCATCGAGCTCAATCGGGCTGCACTACTCCTTCTTCCCCCCGGTCATTCTGATCGATCATACTCTCTCAACAATCTCGCTGCCAGCCTTACGGTCAGGTTCAGGCAGCGGGGCGTCCCGTCAGACCTTGATGAGAGCATCGAGCTCAATCGGGCTGCACTACTCCTTCGTCCCCCCGGTCATTCTGATCGATCATACTCTCTCAACAATCTCGCTGCCAGCCTTGCGGTCAGGTTCAGGCAGCGGGGGCGTCCCGTCAGACCTTGATGAGAGCATCGAGCTCGATCGGGCTGCACTACTCCTTCGTCCCCCTCGGTCATTCTAATCGATCACAATCTCTCAACAATCTCGCTGCCAGCCTTGCGGTCAGGTTCAGGCAGCGGGGCGTCCCGTCAGACCTTGATGAGAGCATCGAGCTCAATCGGGCTGCACTACTCCTTCTTCCCCCCGGTCATTCTGATCGATCACTGTCCCTCAACAATCTCGCCCTCGGCCTTCGAGACAGATTCTGGCAGCGGGGCGTCCCGTCAGACCTTGATGAGTCCATCGAGCTCAATCGGGCTGCACTACTCCTTCGTCCCCTCGGTCATTCTAATCGATCACACTCTCTCAACAGTCTCGCTGCCAGCCTCGCAGACAGATTTAGGCAGCGGGGCGTCCCGTCTGACCTTGATGAGTCCATCGAGCTCGATCGGGCTGCACTACTCCTTCGTCCCCCCGGTCATTCTGATCGATCATACTCTCTCAACAATCTCGCTGCCAGCCTTGCGGTCAGGTTCAGGCAGCGGGGCGTCCCGTCAGACCTTGATGAGAGCATCGAGCTCGATCGGGCTGCACTACTCCTTCTTCCCCCCGGTCATTCTGATCGATCACTGTCCCTCAACAATCTCGCCCTCGGCCTTCGAGACAGATTCTGGCAGCGGGGCGTCCCGTCAGACCTTGATGAGAGCATCGAGCTCAATCGGGCTGCACTACTCCTTCTTCCCCCCGGTCATTCTGATCGATCATACTCTCTCAACAATCTCGCTGCCAGCCTCGCAGACAGATTCGGGCAGCGGGGCGTCCCGTCTGACCTTGATGAGTGCATCGAGCTCCATCGGGCTGCACTACTCCTTCGTCCCCCCGGTCATTCTGATCGATCATACTCTCTCAACAATCTCGCCAACAGCCTCGCAGACAGATTCAGGCAGCGGGGCGTCCCGTCAGACCTTGATGAGTGCATCGAGCTCAATCGGGCTGCACTACTCCTTCTTCCCCCCGGTCATTCTGATCGATCATACTCTCTCAACAATCTCGCTGCCAGCCTCGCAGACAGATTCGGGCAGCGGGGCGTCCCGTCTGACCTTGATGAAACATTTAGCCTCTTCTTGCAACTCCCACACATATCTCATGCAGTGTCTCGTGCGGATCTTACTGCTGCAAAGTCATGGGCTACCGCTGCTGAAGAGACAAACCATAGTTCTGCATTACTCGCATATCAAACTGCATCGAAATTCCTAGATCAGCATGTCAATCTTTTGTCGTCCTCGTCACGTCATTTCGATGTCGTGAGCATGGCTACGGCGTCCCTTGCTGTGGACGCCTTCTCATGCAGCGTTCGTCATGGTGCGCTGACAACTGCTGTGGAATTGGTGGAGCAAGGTCGTGCAGTGTTCTGGACCCAGTTGGTACGCTTAAGCTCGCCGTCCGATGGACTTTCTCTACCTGGTGACGCCGGTGGAGCCTTGGCGGAAGAATTCAAGCAGCTGAGCTTTCGCCTTCGTACTGCATTCGATCAGTCTACTGGAGACCAGCCCCCACAAATCCGACAACTGACCATGCAATGGAACGATGTCGTTTCCCGCATCCGCATGCTCCCTGACTTATCTCAGTTTCTCCTGCCTCCCATGTTCTCAGACCTACAGAAGGCCGCTGAAGAAGGTCCAGTCATCATCGTCAATGCTAGTCAGTACAGCTGTGACGCCTTGATTGTCCTAAGTGATCAAAATCCTATTCACGTTCCGATTGATGTCACGCGCACTCAAGTCTCCGAATTGTCCTCCGATTTTCAGTCTGTCGCAGAGCAATTCGGTTCTTCCGATCATCAGAACAAGCTTGTGGGCATCCTCCGCAAGCTTTGGCATGATATTGTTGACCCCGTGGTCCAAGCCCTTGGGAAGTCGAATGTTTGCCCTGGCTCGCGTATCTGGTGGTGTCCCACTGCTGAATTTACTTTACTTCCTCTACATGCAGCAGGACCCTATGAGAGGGAGAGAGATAACTTGTCACAGATTTATATCTCCTCTTATACCCCCACTTTGGCGACACTAGTTCGTGCGAGACAGCGCGTTTCTCCATATGCATCTACTCAATATTTTGTTGCAATTGGTCAAGGAAACCCGGACAGAGGGAAGGAGCTACGATGCGTCGCTCCTGAATTAGCCGCCATAGCTCAGCGTCTCGTACCCATCGTGTCGTCCTTCACGTCGCTCGAGGAGAGCGACGCAACAGTGCAGGGTGTCCTCGAAGCACTAAACCACAACCAGTGGCTTCACTTAGCCTGCCACGGAATACCGAATCGACAACGTCCATTTGAATCTTCCTTCGCAATGCGTGATGGGCCGTTGATGATCAGGGACATCATCCGATCCAACTGGCAGAACCCCGAGTTTGCTTTCTTATCAGCTTGCCACACCACCGTGGGCGATGAGAAGAGTCCCGACGAATCTATCCATCTCGCTGCGGCGATGCAATTCTCCGGATTTCGCAGTGTGATCGGCTCTATGTGGTCCGTCGACGACGAGGTTGCACGGCAGGTTGTGTCTGCTTTTTACGACAAGCTGGTCGATGATTCAGGGAAATTGGACTGCACGCGGGCTGCGGTGGCGTTGCACAAGGCTGTGAAGAAATTGCGGCGCAATAATATTCCACTGGAACAGCAGATCGTATTTGTTCACATAGGTATCTAGCTATTTTGAGGTTCGTTCGCTATATTACTGCATTTCCCGTGACCCCGATTGCTTTCATTCTCCCGCTGTCCTACCTAGATCTCAGCTATTTAAATCATGTCTGCAAGATACTTTTGTTGTACGTCAATTACGTCTTATATTGATACAAGCCCATTATACTTGCTCTTGTACATTGCTAGGTACACGATTACTAATTATGCCGTGGTTGATGCAAGTCCTTTCGTTCTCCGTCTCAATGATGCCTTTTATTCCTCTTCCTTTGGAATCGTCTCCCCTCAGTCCTTCAATCGAAGACTGAGTTTCTCCCTCGTTCCTAGTCTCTAGTCCGAGCCTCTCTTCGTTTGAGAGGTTATGAGCCCTGGCTCAGACTAGAACTTTCCATTTGTTTTACCCTTCCACTCATTGAAGTCTGAGCCTTCCAGTTTTATCCGAACTGGAACAATACCGACCTCTATCACCGCTTGACCCGCGGATCCTTGGCATACCCCTACCACTGTCACCACCGCTGACCCCCGTTTTCCCGACTCGTTCATTACTTAAGCTACCCGTCTTTCCTATCCTATCGTCGCCATCGCCGACACACCATTCCATACCATCCACGATGTCCACCATTTCATCATCCAATATTCGGATTCCTACCTCCTTCCCTCATCCTCCTCTGGATGCCAATGGCTCCAACTACACCTCGTGGGTAACATCCATGGACCTTTGGCTCTCGCTCTTCAATCTTTGGCTCCTCCTTACTGGTGATGAGAAGGGCCCTCAGCGCCCAAGCAAAGGCACCACTGAGACTGACAATGACTTCGACAAGTGCCTCGCGGCCCATGATGCGAGCGTGGATGTCATTTCCTTCTGAGAATGCCAAAGTATAACCAAGGGACTCCTTGGTATGGCGGTCCACTCGAGTGATCTCATTCACTTTATGGGTGCCACTGACCCAGCAACCATCTGGAAAGCACTAGAAGAGAAATACCAGGCGTCCGTCGGCATACATTTTACGACTCTCATGGGCCATGTTTTTGACCTTCCGAAAGCGTCTGATAGTGACACTCTCACAAAGACCATTAAGGAAATCACGGACATTAAGGCGCAGTTCAAGGTTATTGAGTCTATGGAATGGAAGTGCAATGAATATACGCTTGTTCAAGCGTTACTGTGTGCCCTCCCTGATTTCTACGCCCTGCTCTCCCAGCTCATACTCCACAGCGCTGATGCCAATGCTGGAAAGTTAACACTGGAAGGTGTAATCAGCCAGATTAGGAACTCGGAACAGTACTATGCGAGCTTTGGCTCCGCAAACCTGCACACGCACCATACAGCCATGGCCGCTAGGGTGGCGAAAGCAGGTAAACCCACTGAACGTGCCAAGCCGAAGGATTTTGATGCTTCCAAGGGGGATAAGTGGGAGTTATCGTGGCGTTCGACATGCGGATCTTGCAAGCGCACAGGTCACATCTGGTCTAACTGCCGTACTTGCCTAGCGAAATCAGACTTGCCGAACACGTCAGCACACATTCCATCATCTTCCTTGCAGAACACTAATGTGTCGACTCTTACACCAGGGCAACCTGACAGCATCCCATCCTTTCTTCATCTCTCGACACATTCTGCAAGCCTTTCTAATACGAGCACTATTTCCTTCGTGTTCCATGTAGATTCTGCTGCAACCGCACATATGGAATCGGACTCTTCCCATTTCACTCGTTATTCTGCCTATGACCCACCCATAATAGTCAAACTCGCAAATGATGATATTGTTTTCGCCCCTGGTTGGGGAATTATAAAACTAGCGCTGAACAATGGCACGAGCTGGGAACCTATTGAGTTGCCTTTCCTACATGTCCCCGACCTACGATGTACCTTGATATCGGTCTCAGCTCTCGGGTCCGAAGGCATTTTTTTTGCAACAAATGCCAAGGGAGGTTCAATGCAACATGCAGACGGTACTTGTATCGCACAAGTCAACTGCACTTCGGGCCTTTATTATCTTGATGCTAAATATAGTGAAAACCACACTGCCTTTGCAGCGAAGTCCACCTCGAGTATACCACTACCAATGACTGTTTGGCACGCACGGATGGGCCATGCTGCCAACTCTACTTTGCGTAAAGCAGAGAAAATGGTCAAAGGACTTGTGCTCAACGACGACAGACCTGCGAAACATGGTGGCCATATTGATTGTGTGTCGTGCCTGATGGGAAAGCAGAAATGCTTTCCTTTTCCATCCTGTGCTCGTCATCATGCTACTCACATTGCTGAATTGATTCATTCTGACGTTTGGGGACCTATCAACACCACAACCACATCAGGAGAGACCTATTTCGTTGCTTTCACAGATGACTTCTCCCGCTATACGACGATTTACCTCATCAAGAACAAAAATGATGTCTTCTCTCGCTTGCAGCAGTATGTTGCCTGGATCGAAAATCAGTCAGGACAGCGGGTGAGACGGCTTCGCAGCGATAATGGTGGAGAATATATCTCTGGTGCCGTCACTGGATTCCTACACAACAAAGGTATCGAACATGAACTTATGATGCCATATACAGCGGAACAAAATGGTGTTTCTGAACGTGGACACCAGACAGTTGTGACTCGCGCGCTAAGCGCACATCATCAGAGCGGCTATGCTCGTTCATTCTGGGGATATGCTATCTTGAACTCTGCATACATCAAGAACCTACTCCCATCATCGGCTACGGAGGACAAAACACCTTTTGAACTTTTTCATGGTTATCCACCTGATGTTTCACATTTACGGCCCTTTGGTTGTCTTGCATATGCGCATATCCCTGATGACACACGTCATAAATATGACTATGTGTCATGACGGTGTTTCCTGCTGGGTCATGCTAAGGACATTGGTTATTCGCTATGGGACCCAATGACTTGACAAATAGTATGGTCTCGCAATGTTCTTTTTGATGAAAGTATCTTCTACGGAACTCCCAACTCCATAATTTCGCCACTCATCGATTTATACAACCAGCAAATCCGAACATCAAATGTATTACAAACATCAGAAGACCCAGAACCTATGTCGCAAACCAATGGTGAACCCTCCGAAATCATTCTCGAAACAGCAACCCCAGTGTCCACTACTTCAGTGGGAGTAACTCCAATATCCATGGCTAGTACCACTTGTGACATGTCATTGCCTCCCTCACAACCAAATGATGCTATTCCTGTGCCCGCAGTTGATGTTCCACCAGATTCAGAGACCATACCACTCCCCGAGCCACGACGTTCAACTCGTCAGCGTGTTGCAGCCAAACCTGCATTACCACGTTCAGTTGCAATTCCGACAAAAATTGTTCCCATAGAGCAGCGCTGGACATATGCACCAGTGGACACCAGTCATGTAGATGAGAATCCGGCAGCTAACACACCTTCCGATATCGACATCGAACATTCAGCAATGAAAATGAATGTAGACGGGCGAAAACCCCCCCCACAGAATCTCACTCAAGCTCGTACTTCCACAGAATCTGCGAATTGGGAAAGTGAAATGCTAGAATAATTGGCGTTGCTTCGTGAGAAGGGAACTGGAGTCCTTACACCACTCCCACCTGGCCGAAAAGCAGTTGGTTCTCGGTGGGTTTATGCCTATAAATATGATGAAGGTGGTCAGATCACTCGCCACAAAGCTCGCCTTGTCGCACAAGGATTCTCGCAGATCGAAGGTTTAGATTACACGGAAACTTTTGCTCCAGTCGCCAAGTATGACACGACATGGGCCTTACTCTCCATGGTTGCAAAATATGACCTCGAGCTGGATCAGATGGATGTAAAGACGGCTTTCCTCAATGGTGGTCTTGATGAAGATATCTATATGAAGCAACCACCTGGGTTCGAAGATGCAGAATATCCTGACTGGGTATGGAAACTCCTCAAGGCAATTTATGGTTTGAAGCAATCGGGACGCCAGTGGAACAAGACACTCGATGAATTTTTGTGAAAAGAAGGTTTTAACTTTGCCCGCAGTGAAGCTGATTACAGTTTGTATGTGTTACACAAGGATGACAAAACCATATGGCTTCTTGTCTATGTCAACGACATGCTTCTCGCATCCAACTGCCGAAAATTCCTTGATGGTTTCAAGGGTGAAATGAGCAAGCGCTTTGAGATGAAGGATCTTGGCGAGGCACGCCACTTCCTGGGGATGCATATCAAACGAGATCATACCAAGCAGCTCCTCACCATTGATCAAACTTCATTCCTCGAGCAAATTCTGACTGAAGCCAAGATGTCAGACTGCCGCCCAGTCGGTACTTCCCATGGTACCAGGAGTCTCACTGTCAAAAGCTACTGCACCTCTGACGGAAACCGAAGCACAGCAATTCACGCACATTCCATATGCACGTGTTATCGGCGAACTCAATTTTGCGATGCGTGTCAGTCAACCTGACATTGCTTATGCGGTCTCCACATTATCCAAGTTCCTAAGCAACCCTGGTGTCGAGCATTACCAACAGCTCCACCATTTGCTTCGCTATATTCGTGGAACCACACACCTATCCCTTGACTTCGGCTTATCAGACGAAGGACTCATTGGATACTCTGATTCTGATTTTGCTTCGGACAAGGATGACAGTCGTTCTATTGGGGGTTATGTCTACTACCTTTTTGGATCTCCCATTAGCTGGCGCTCTCAGAAGCAACCCATTGTCGCAACATCCTCCATGGAAGCAGAGTATATTGCTCTCTCCAATGCCGCTCAAGAACAAATTCATCTCAACCAACTCTTGCATGATTTTGGACTTGATTCATCGCTCGTCACACCTACTATCCTGTACGGGGACAACAATGGGAGCTGAGCATTGACGAAGAACCCTCAGTTTCACGACTGTGCGAAACACATCCGTGTCCGCTGTCATTTTATCCGCGACCTCATTAATGATGGGATCATCGTCATCCCTTACATACCCACACATGACATGATAGCTGATATTTTCACAAAATCATTACCTCGAAAGGCTTTCCGTGGTCATCGTTACTCC